TATTAGCAAACAGGACACAAGTTTTATCTACTTAAAGTTAAGGGCTTCAATCGTGAAAATGTGCTATGAACACGTCAAAATTTCAATGTAAACTCAACCACTGAAACTGAAAACAATACAAATAAGTCAAGAAATAGTACGAGTCTATTTAAAAAGGGTAAAAGCTGTTAAATTCAGTTTAGCTTACCCCAGAGAACAAATGGGTACTAACGGGACAAACCCGATCGACCAAGCAATGTTCAAACTGCCCTAAGGCAGCATTAACGGAATGCTCCGCCGTCCAGCCGGTCCCATCAGACACCATGTAAATTGACTTCCCACCTGCCGTTACTTCCGTTTCATCCGTTCCGCTGACCCCACCACTCTCTTCACCCGACTCACTTTCCCAATTAATGGAATTAGAACTATTGTTACTGTCAGTACGAACTAGAGAACCGGCGGTGCTGGTAATTTTCTGAACCCGGCGGTCTAGTTTCCGGCCAGAACGGACTGCGCGAGCACGGGACCACCGGTTTAGTTGCGGGCTACTTCTGATTTTTCGGGAAGGTTGGTCGGATGGAGATGCAGGTTCAGACTTGGACTTCGGTTCGGAGACGGACGAGGCTGTCGTCGTCGTCGTAGTGAGGTTTGAGAAGCTTAGGGTTGTAGAAGAAATCATTTTTGCTTGATTCTTTAGATATTTTTGTGAATTTGGATAACGGCGCTTTTGATTTCGGAATTGGATATTGAACCCAGTGACACGTGGACGTCGCCTCGTTGTGTTGAGTGGAGCAGTAGACTAGGAAGAATGGTCAAGTGAATTTTGTCACGGCTCAATGAGTTCCTGGCAAAAGCCGCAAACCTCGTGAAAACATTTCTTAATTACTTTTTTACTTGACAAACATCAAAATTGTTGCAGTATATTTATTTATAAAAAAATTTTAAAAAATAGCAATTCAAACAAAGCATTACTCTTTCATCAATAAAATTAGAAAAAAGTGTTTTCAAGGTACAAAAAGGTCATTTTCTTCATCTTTAAAGTATTTTGGATGATTGTTACATCTTTCATAAATTATTCAATATTTTGTAAATTTTTAATTAATGTTGTCTAAATTGCAAAATAAAATCAGGTAAAGGATCTTTCAACCCTATTAAAAACTTGTAATTTTTCATTAAAGAACCGCATCAGACTAATTTTCAAATGTTAAAGAACTATAAATTAGTCTGTCATAACAATTAAGAGACGAGAACAAAAGGACAACTTTGGAATGAAATTATTTTTACTCTCTCAAAATTAGTTTTAAATCATATATTTTGAATTGGGTTCAAAATATTACATAAAAATTGAAAATAGGAGAGGTAAGTGATATTTTACGAATCTCCAACAATTTTTTTTTTCATTTAAACCAGCCAAGATATTTCAATTAGATGCCAATGCAACCAGACAATGACGGAGCCAAGGGGGGTGTAGACACCAAATTTATCTTCATTTATCATTTATTTATTTTTATTGATATTTATCCAGGTTTTACTTATTAATCTAATGGTTTTGTTTTTAGACATTTTTATTTTATTTATTTATATTTATTTATTATTTCATTTTATTTATTATTCTTACTTTTATAGATTAAATGATGATTATTAAATGATTTTTGTTCATTAGTCTCTTAATTTTATTAGAATTTGTCGAAAAAAAAAAAGAAAAAAGAAATTTGTTCACACAAAAAATATATATATATACCTTAATGTTGTGAAACTAATAAAATAAACTCCCAAAAGTAGGGATTAGAATAATAGAGTGAGAATAAGAGAGAGATAGAATTATATTTTACTGATCAAAGTACTTCCAGGTTTCAAGGTTACAAAAGAAGTAAGATTCAACCCTATAAATAGGTGATCCAAGATAAAAGGTACATGAAGCCGATTAAGTACTAATACATGAATTTAGTACTTCAAGTACATCCATAAATGAGTTCATCCAATGTACCAATGAATCTAGGAAGAATACATGTGTCTATCAACTGGAGAATACAAACGGACATCTTCATCTTGTAATCCTTCTTGAGAATATCAACGGACATCCACATCTTATCATTATTTCATAACACTCCCCCTTGGATGTCCATTACACAAAGAATATGCCTCGTTAAAACCTTACTAGGGAAAAACCCAGTGGGACAAAAATCCTAGTGAAGGAAAAAGAGTACACTATTCTTGTGCAATAAATTCTCCCCCTGATGCAAACATTATATGAGATCTTTTGGCCGACGCATACCAATATTCTTCACCAGTTTTCGAAACGTAGCAGTCGGCAGAGCCTTAGTAAACAATTCTGCCAAATTATTATCCGATCGGATTTGTAGCACATCAATTTCACCATTCTTTTGCAAATCATGAGTAAAGAAGAATTTCGGTGAAATGTGTTTCGTCCTATCTCCCTTAATATATCCTCCTTTTAATTGAGCTATACAAGCTGCATTATCTTCATATAAAATAGTTGGAGGATTTTTCTTCTCGGAGGATAACCCACAACTCTTCCGGATGTAGTGGGTCATTGATCTTAGCCAAATGCATTCTCGACTGGCTTCATGAATTGCTATTATTTCAGCATGATTTGATGAAATGGCAGTTAAGGATTGTTTTGTAGAACGCCAAGAAATGGCTGTTCCGCCACAAGTAAAGAGATAGCCAGTTTGAGATCGTGCTTTATGTGGGTCAGACAAATACCCAGCATCAGCATATCCAAGCAACTCAGGCTTAGATTTTTTTTGAATAAAACAAACCAAGATCAATTATTCCTTGGAGATAGCGAAAAATGTGTTTAATACCATTCCAATGTCGTTTTGTAGGCGAGGAACTAAATCTTGCTAATAAATTCACAGCAAATGATATATCTGGCCTTGTACAATTAGCAAGATACATGAGCGCACCAATTGCACTGAGATATGGTACTTCAGGACAAAGTATCTCTTCATGTTCCTCTTGTGGCCCAAAGGGATCCTTATAAGGATCCAATGATCTGACGACCATTGGGGTACTTAATGTATGTGCTTTATCCATACGGAACCGCTTTAATACCTTCTGGGTATAAGCAGTTTGGTGAACAAAAATTTCACCTTTTAAATGCTCAATTTGTAAACCAAGACAGAATTTTGTCTTTCCAAAATCTTTGATCTCAAATTCTTTCTTCAAATATTCGACAGCTTTTTGGATCTCTTCAAGAGTTCCAATCAAATTGAGATCATCAACATATATCGCAATAATCACAAAATTTGATCCATTTTTCTTGATAAAAACACATGGACATATTGGGTCATTGGTATAACCTTCTTTAGTTAAACATTCATTGAGACGGTTATACCACATACGTCCAGATTGCTTGAGCCCATACAAAGACTTTTATATTCTAATAGAATACACATCTCTAGGATTTGATTTACATGCTTCAGGCATGTTGAATCCTTCAGGGATTCTCATGTAAATATTATTTTCAAGATTCCCATACAAATAAGCAGTGACAACATCCATTAGACGCATATCAAGTTTTTCATGCACTGCAATACTCACAAGATATCTAAATGTGATCGTATCCACTACAGGTGAATACGTTTCATCAAATCCAGATCTTTGAAAATTCTTGGGCTACCAATACTTATTTATATTTAACTGGCTCTACACTTTCAGGTGTTTGGACTACAGGTCCAAAAACTTTTCTTTTAGCCAGTGAATCTAATTCAGATTGTATCGGCCTTTTCATTTTGGCCAATCATTTCTATGCCGACATTCATCAACCGATCTAAATTCATGATCCTCATTAACTTCTATAATATCAAGTGCTACATATCATTAGGCTCCAATTAAATTTTCTATAATTCATTCTCTTCAGGAGTTGGCTCTTCGGGAGCGACCTCTTCAGGAGGTTAAATTTTGTCATGACAATTATTTAATCTCCGAAAATATTTGAAATCAATGTATACCTTATATAGGTAGGCCGGCCTTTATTTGTAGCATTTGTACATGTCCTTCAGGGACATCAATTTTAACAAGAGAATTTCCTGCAAGAATAGTTGATTTAATGACTCTTCTGGGTCGATAAATATAATTTTCTTCAAATGAAGAATTTCTTGAACTTCTAGTTCATTTTTTTTTTGTATGAGGATCGAGGAAATCCAATTGTTCAGATGATTTCCTTTCGGTTGATCTTTTCCTCCCCCTAATGTCGGGATAGATCACTCATTAGTAGATCATTCATCAATATTTTACGATATTTAATCGTAAAAGGTGATGCATATCCGACATCAATTTTCTTTGGAGCCATGTATAATATAAAGGGGGTATGTATAAATACTTGTCGACATTCAAATATTCTCACTTTTGCCAAATCATATATTCATGGGAATCAATAAACTTCTGGTGTACGACAGGTGATGATTATAAATCAAGTGAGAATGAAGATAACTATATCGATAACCATTACACACTCGAATGATTATTATGATATAATTAACCTTTATTTCACTTGATTTCTAAACATGATCTCTACTATTGACTCATAGAATGTCTCAATTTGATATCCATCTCGACGGATATCTTTAATAAATTTTTTCGAGACTTGGGAGAGAGTAGTGCAATATTTATGACAATTTTAGTTCCTTCAGGGAAACATAGAGTGGTTCTTCCGGAGCCCTTAATTAATTTTGCACTACCACTAATGGTATTAACATTTGTCTCTCTCATCTCCAAAGAAGAAAAATATCTTTTATTTTTCAATATAGTGTGCATAAAAGCACTACTAATGAGACAAATGTTATCATCACCATTATTTGATCCCAAACATTTGGCATTCATTTCTTCTTCAGGAAGAAAATAAATGAAACTAAATATTGATAAAAGATACGAGAATAGACATTAGCAAAGTAAATTGATAAAGCTAACAACATATCAAACAACATACTAAAGTAATTGACAATCCTGCAAGACTAACAACATATCAAACATCTAGATAAATATTAAATATATGATCATTTTGCATCTTCAGGATGCTCAAAGAAATCGACAATATCCAGGTGTGTCATGTCAGCATCATCATTATCATAAGCATCCTTTTGGTCGATAAAATTTGTCTCGACATCTTTGTCCTTCTTTTTCAATGATGCTTGATAGAGGTCAACAAGATGTTCAGCCGTACGACAGGTACGGGACCAGTGACCTTCCATACTACATCGGTAGCATTTTTCTTCATAAACTTTCTTTTCTCCTTCTTTCGGATCGTAGTCATTTTCTCTCTCTTGAGAAATATTTTGTTGCTTGCCACGGTGATAATTTTCACGGGGCATAAATCTACTACGATCACGTCCACGGCTACGGCCACGTCCTCTTCCACGGGCACCTCTACGGCCAGGTCCACGACCTCGACCAGAATTTTGAAATTGGGTTCCATACGCTTCAGGGAATGGACTTGCACCAGTTGGTCGGGACTCATGATTGTTCAGCAATAATTCATTATTTTGTTCAGCCAATAGAAGACATGCAATAAGTTCAGAATACTTCTTAAATCCTTTCTCTCTATATTGCTGCTGCAGGAGCATATTAGAGATATGAAAAGTAGAGAATGTCTTCTCTAATCTAACATATTTTCATCAGTGACTTTTTCGCCACACAATGATAATTGAGAAGTAATTCTGAACATGGCTGAATTACATTCGTTGACAGATTTGAAATCTTGTAGTTGTAAGTGAAGCCAATCATATCGGGCTTTTGGAAGAACGACCAAGTGGTCGAATCTTTCTTTCAAATCTTGCCAAAGGACAAGAGGATCTTTGACAGTAAGATACTCTACTTTTAATCCTTCATCTAAATGACGACGAAAGAAAATCATGGCCTTAGCACGGTCTTGGTTTGAGGCATCATTCTCATCAACAATAGTATTACCAAGACCCATTGCCTCAAGATGAATTTCAACATCTAAAACCCACGATAAATAATTTTTTCCAGAAATATCAAGAGGTATGAACTCTTGTTTTGTGAGATTAGCCATAAGACTATACAATAGATTCGTAGGAAAGAATTTTACCTTGATAAGTAGCCAAAAGTTATTCGGGCAGAATCTTGACACGTCTCGTGCTTCACTTTTGCTTCGTGCTTTTCCTTCACTCAAAGTAGAGACTCGTGCTCTTCCTTAGCTCAAGGTAAAGACTCGTGCTGATAACGTGTTGTGAAACTAATAAAATAAACTCCCAAAAGTTGGGATTAGAATAATAGAGTGAGAATAAGAGAGAGATAGAATTATATTTTACTGATCAAAGTACTTCCAGGTTTCAAGGTTACAAAAGAAGTAGGATTCACCCCTATAAATAGGTGATCCAAGATAAAAGGTACATGAACCCGATTAAGTACTAATACATGAATTTAGTACTTCAAGTACATCCATAAATGAGTTCATCCAATGTACCAATGAATCTAGGAAGAATACATGTGTCTATCAACTGGAGAATACAAACGGACATATTCATCTTGTAATCCTTCTTGAGAATATCAACGGACATCCACATCTTATCATTATTTCATAACACTTAATTTTTTAGATTCAATTATAGGATTTTGTTGCAATTACAAGTTAACATTGTTTGTTCACTTAAATTAAATGTTAGTTCATAAAAAAAAAAAAAAAAAAAACTCACGCGCGCGTGCTAGGCACACTCGCTGCTTCTCCGTGATCTCATATTAGCAGAAAATAAAGTCGCAAGTTTGCAGCCGCATTTTTTCAGCTATTTTCCTTATTTTTTTAGCTCCCTTCGATCATGTTAGTACTGTTACACCTGGCTTTCATCGACAAGCCAAGAAAACAATTTAGAAGTTGAGGCCAATCCGATGGCTGAGAGAGAAACGGTGACCTGAAGCTGTTTATGAACCATCAAGATGAGGTTTTAGGGTGAGAGTCTGATATAAAAAGGGAGCGAAGGGTTTAGAGATTGGAGAGGAAGGATTGCCGGCTGCATAAGAGAAAAAAACAGAGAGACCGAAAGAACCAGAGAACTGAGAGAAAAGTGAGAGAAACCGAGAGAAAGGTGACGGAGAGTGTGAGAGAAACAGAAGCTGGGGTTCTGGGAAATTGAGAACGAAAAGGAAAATCATGAGGCAAGGGAGAAGGTAGATCAAAGGTTTCATTATCTTCTGGAGCTGTTCAAACGAAGTTTCTTTCCTATTCCATTTCTCTGTTGGAGGATACCCCACATCAGGGTCAGAATCGCAACGCAAAGGTAAACTCTTTTTCCCTTAGCTAGGTTACAAATGTGTCCAGATCTTTGGCTTTCGTTTGTCATGCTACTGAGGAGTCGAAAAATGAGTTCTTGCTGATGCATACTCCATTACTTGGTCCCCTTGTAGACGATATGGATAGCTTGTAGTGATTCCCTTGCATTTTGCTTATAAAGATGCTTCCTTTCTTTTCTGTTTTCATTTTTATTCTGGTTGTCTGATGGTTCTTCGCTGGTGGTTTTATCTAAAATTTATTTGCTCTTCCTAAAAGCAAAGAACGGGCTTGATGTTTTGGTACATGGCTGCAAAAAAAAAAAAAATGAATGAACAATATTTACATGGGTCTGTTTCAAATAATCTTTCGGTTCTGCTTTGTTTCATGGAGTAGCAGTAGTGATTCATACAGAAACATGGAATCCATGCCATTTTGATGATTTGTTGTGTCTAAGGAAATGTCCATTCCTAGTGTTAGAAAAATAAAGTTTTGTTGGATTTTGTTCGTGAAAACTGCGTTTTGTTTGGTTGGAGTTAAGTGATTCAAAGCTGCTGCAACAAATTCAAAGCCCTCGGCTTGTTGCAGCAGCGTGGACGGACCTTGCTTCCTTCCTTTGTTTGTTAAAGTTTTTGCTTGGGTTGGTATGTGGTGTGCATCTTTGGACGAGTTTCCCTCCTTGTGTTTCTGTTGCATTTCTGTATTCATTCGCGTAAGTTGGAGCTGCGAACTTGCAACAGAAAAAATTGCAGCAGAGCATAGGTTGCCGCACCTACTTTGCTGTCTGCCTCTTCCGTGATCATTCACCAGGCTTTAGCCCCTTCTAATTTTGTTAGTTAGTCTCGTGTGGGAAGGGGGCAGTGGAAGATTGATTTGAGTTTGCATGTTTGGGTCCTTAAAACATTTGAATCATGTTCGGGTACTTGCTGAAAAGTGAATTTCAGGTTGCCAAACCATTTTACTCGAGTGTTTTGTCCAGAATTTTTGCATCAGTTCCTTTTATGCTTCTTGCTTGTTCGGATGTTGAAAGTTATGTGTCTTGTTGTTTAGTTTAAAATTATGATTTTGCTTGAAAAATTTCCGAGCAAAGCTATGTGTTTGGGTCCGAAATATGAAAAATCTTCGAGCAAAGCTGTTTGAGCAACAAGTTTCACTCTCGGTTGCAGAAGCTGGTTTCGTAGTTGTTACTTTTCATGAAATCCTTCCATGAATTGCATCTTTTAAGGAGTGTTAGCCATGTTTGGTTGGAATTAACTCAAAAGTGCTGTGCGAAATTGCCTGCCGAAAGCTTGTTTGATTGCAGAAAGTTTTCATTAGTAATGGTGCGTTGTAGAGAGTGTTTTCGGTAGTTGCATGAAGTTTGCATGGAAAGATGCTTCAAAAATTACACTTTAGCCCCCAAGTCTCTCTTTGTTTCACCATGACCCAACCAATTGAATAATTTCATCAATTTGATCCTTCGCAGCTTTAATTTTGCAACTTCATTGCTTGTTTGCTTCAATTAATTACCATATTTTGTTTAATTGCACTTAATTCATGATTTTAAGAGCTTTATGACCAAGTGAGTTTGTGTTTTGCATATTTTCTTTAACGTTCTCAATTAAATTGGTATCCTGACCTTTTTATTTGTTTTGGAGGGTAAATTAGTAATTTCACTTCGTTAGGGCATCGATTCAAGGGAGGTACACTCTATCCCTTATTTTGGCCTTATTTGACCCTATATGAGCTTATATGACTATATGTGTGCAATTGCATGCCTTTTGAATGTTTTTTTATTTACTTATTTATTTTTCGCTTTATTTGCTTAATTTCGTATATTTATTTAAGTTTCTTTTTGATCATTTGGGAAGGCACTGGAATGCCACAATTGTAATAGTTAGATTTATTTTAATTATTTATTTCATTCCGTTTCCCCTTTTAGATTGTAGTAGGCCTTTCCCCCCTAAAAATGTAATAATTAGGGCCTTAGTTGCCTTGTATGTTTTGCATGCTTAGGTGCTATGTGTTTAATCGCTTTCTTAGGTTTTGGCATCTAGATATGCATGCTTATGTGTTAGGTGAATTACGTGCTCACATGTCTACTTGCTTTAATTGTGCACATTACCTATATATGTGTATGATGGATGCAAATGCACGTAACCGTGGCTAGTCCAATGCTGGTCATGGTTGTTCCCTCGAGCTCTTGCAAGTCCAATGCTTGCGAGAGAGCGTAGATGTGGGCTAGTCCAACGCTAGACCCTTAGGAGCCCTTCGCGCGTTAGATCATGATTGCATGATAAAATCACTTCATTCCATGCATATCTTTCACTTTCTAGGGCCTTTTTATCATTTTGTATGATACTCCCCTTATACGTATCTCCCTTATCCCTAAAATATCCCTTACCCCTATGTATATATAACATTTAGATTTGCATCTCATTTAGGAAATTAGGGGGTAGATTAGTGCATTTTTTGCCTGATTAGACTAGAGATAACCCCTTGGGTAAGGGAAACGAGCAAGTATGGCTACACATAGCCTTAGCACGCTAGTTTTTCCTTCTAACCAAAAGGCAAATTAAAAGTCACGACTTAAGATCTCCCCGTACCCATCTTGCTTGCATTCCTCTAGGGTTCATGCATTTCATTTACCCTCTATCATTTCACACAACTCTTATTTTGTACATTTTCGCTCTACCACTCGCACTTTATATACTATCACTTGCACACATGCACTTTATGCTATCACACATACATTTCACACTATCACTTTACATACCTCACATTGCACACTCATTTGCACACTCCCACTTATACACCATTATCTTTTATTACTTTTTTTCACTTCACACGAGCTCATGTTTTCACATTGCATACATTCATTCCACTCATTTTTACGTCACTAGCATTATTCGTGATCTCTCCAAAGAGTCATTATTGGGCATCACAACTAATGTGATTGGCACCACTCAAGCTTTGAAGAGAAATTTTGCCCCCCCCGATACCCTCCTAGGTCTAGGGTTTGCATTCATATAGTATATCTAAATGTGATAAATCTCTTGGTTAAAAAATAAGAAAATTCTTGACTAAATCACGCAACTAGCCTTGGCTAGGTCGAAGGGGTGCCTTGAATTTTTATCATTGCCTTCCCCTTCGTCAAATGTGACTCCCGAACCTTTTTCTTTGATTTACGTAGACTAGGAGTCGTTTAAAAGGGGTTTTTCTACCTTTTCCTTTAAAAAATTCATTTTTAGGTGACTTGGTACACCTTAACTCTATACCAAGTGGCGACTTGATAGGGATATAATTATGCATTTTATTTGTGGTTATTTGGTCTTAATTTTGGCAGTTTAGTATACAAAGTATTGGATTTCTGCTCATAATTAGTATTTGTGTTAATTACAGGCAATTAGTGTTGAAAGTGACGAAAGGGAGACAAAATCCAGAAGACTCTTGCCTCTAAGGCGTGCCCACGCTAGACAATGCAGAGTTGCGTGAAAAAGCCGGATTGGGGGTCCTATTCCTGGGGCCACCGCCTTTCCTTGGAGCCATACTTTAAAACTTACGTGGGATTAGGAAATAGAATGGGAAGAAGACTTTTTCGCAACACTTCAATAAGGGAAATAAGAAGAAGAACTTGGGAATTCTTTTCCAACACAAATTCCACTTGGGAAAGCACGTGGGTGGCGGCGCAAGAATAAAAGAAGAAAACAGCA